CTTCTTCTGTACACTCCTGAATGCTTAGATTAAACTTAAAGAATTAGGAAGAAACACGCCATTCATTAGATGACTAGAAATCATCGCAAGGCCACAAGAAATATGGGAAAGCAAGAAAATACCTCCCCTCCAAGGTAAAAGAATAACTCCTCTTCATCCATAGACAATTCAATGGAAACCATGGAAATGTCTGATAAAGAATTTAGAATATTCATAATGACGAAGCTAACAAAGATGGAAGAGAAGAGAGACAATGAACTGTGAAAGAGGCAGGAAAAAGAAGCTGATGAGTTCTAGGAGGTGAGGAAATTCTTGCAAGATCTAAAAGGGGAATTACACATTTTAAAAAAGAGTCAAATGGACCTGTTAGAGATGAAGGCTATAATACAGGAAGTCAAAATCTCCCTTGAAAGTATTAAAAGCAGACTAGATCATACAGAAAACATAGACATAGAAGGCAAAATTCCTGGCCTACAAAAATCCAACACAAAGACTGAAAAAATTGCCCAAAAAAAGAGAATAATATACGAGAAATACTAGATACCATCAAATGTCCAAACATCCAGATAATTGGCATCCCAGAAGGCAAAGAGACTGATAGGGGCATTGATAAGCTATTCATTGAAATACTGCAAGAAAACTTTCCAAACCTAGAGAGGCACTCCAAGATCCAGTCCCAAGAAATACAAAGGACCCCAAATAAAATCAACCCAAGAAGATCTTCTCCAAGACACATTATAGCCAGATTGGCCAAAACCACAGACAAAGACAAGATACTAAAATTGGCAAGAGAGAAACGGCAAGTTACCTACAAAGGATATCCCATCAGGCTAACAGCAGACTTCTCATCAGAAACAATGCGAGGGAGGAAAGAATGGGGAAATATATTCAAAGTGTTAAGGGAAAAGCAATTTCAACCAATGATACTGTACTTGGCAAGATTATCCTTCACATGGGAAGAAAAGACAAGAACATTCTCAGATAAACAAAACCTGAAAGAATTTACCAACATCAGACCAGATCTCCAAGAAGTTTTCAAGAGGAGTGCTATACCAGGGAAATTAAATACAGACACACAGAAATAAGAGTTCAAAAACTAAGAAAATGGCCAACTTAATCATAGGGACAAGTCTGGAGTTGAATATTATATCCCAGAATTCAATTGGAAAGATTGAACCACAACAGAAGATAGATTAAGTACATGAGACTGAACTGGTGAAATAGCATTTTATGACTTTGACTAAAACATTGCTGATTTTCTTCTAGGCTTTGTTTTCCTATTTTAAGGATTTTTGTCCTGTCTTGAGCTGTCGATAGATTCATGTACCTATTATTTGAACAGAATCCTAATCTATTCCCTGGCTTTAAATTTTAAGCAAAATTCCTTAGCATTTATTTGATTTATTAACGTTAAAACTGCCTTTTTTTTTGGGGGGGGTAGAAGTTTTTTTGCTATAGGGTGCGTGCACTCACCAGAGAAGGAGAGAAAGAAAAAGGAAGGAGGAAAGGGGGGGGGAAGGGAGAGGATTTAAAAAATTCAAAATATATAAACCATTTAGAAAAATGTTAATTAATACACAGTAAATGCTAAGAAAATGGTACCTATTCTTTTTTTTTTTTTTTTTTTTTTTTTTTTTTTTTACTATTAATTCTCGACTTTTCTTGACTAGGCAAGATGAAAAACTTGAAACAAAAAGTCTGTAAGGGCCAGCCCCATAGCCTAGTGGTCAAGGGAGCCAGATCCTATATGGCTGAATGCAGTTCAAATCCTGGCCCCCAGTGGCTTGAGAAACACCAGATACACATGTGTGCATACACGCCCCAAATCCCAAAAGGATGGAGAAATGGAGTAGAGACTGCTGCAGGGCCACACCCCATTGGGGTGTTTTCTCTCTTTTTCTCTGTCTCCTGGCAAAACACACACCTTCTGGCAATTTAAAGAAGAAAAAGAAGGGCCAGTGGGTGGTGTGATGGTGAAAGCACTAGACTCCCACATGGTTGACCGTAGTTTGAGTCCTGGACTCACAGGCTTGAAATTCACGCCAGGTGCATGTGTGCATGTGCACAAAATCCCAGGAGAAAAATGGAAGAGAAGGGGCTGAGGCATGGCCATACGCCCTGGGGATGATTTCTCTTTCTCTCTCTCTCCAGCAAGCTCGTGTGCCCAATAGTAAAAATCTTTTTCTAAAAAAAATAATAAGAAGTAAAATAAAGAAAAAAAGAGTCTGTCCTGTTAACTACTGAGCTTACATAACATGTGAATCAGTGAAGCAGTACTCTCTGAGGTAATAATTACTTCTGATGATGTATGAGCTCCAAATAATAAGAAGGTCAGATCTGCTTCCCATCATGATGGGGAAACAGAGAACAGATTTACCTTGGTGCCTTGAAAAGAGAGAAAGAGAGAGAGAGAGAGAAATGAAATATGTGAAACAGTTTACAGGCATTAGACAAAAGGAAAATACACAAAGTGAGCCCTAAGACTGTCATATCTTACTACCTGGAGAACATGGCCAAGAAACCACACATGCACAAAAAACGAGCCGTATTCCCGAGCTGAGGAGTCTCCACGAGCTGAGGCTCTGGAGTGGTGAAGGTGGGTAGAGTCTGCAAGGCCGAGTGTCAGAGAGGAGCCTGCTGTCCAGAGAGAACTGGAGACCTCCAGGCGGTCGTCTTGAGTTTTCAGCTGAGTGATGGTCAGCACACCTGGGTAGGGAAATTGCCACGCAAAGGAGCGGGTGGTAGGCGCCTCTGAGCTTACAGAGGGTCAGGAACAGTTCATATCCCCATCAGCCTGTGCACAAAATACTCACAATACAGGTACCAAGTACAGAACTCACAAAGTATTGCCTCTGTAGTAGGAAAAAATAGCTCCAAATGCTGCTCTGGTCCCAACAAACTAAATCCTCAAAAGGATCAAACTATCTCCAAATGACATCCCAGAATCTCAAGAATGATTAAAGGAATACAAAAATATCCCCCAAACAAGCAGGTAAAATCAGCTTGTTGTATCACTGAACTGGCAGTCTGTATGGGACAGATACAAAAGAAGAATGGAATGAAGTTCTCAGTGACTAAACATATGAACTAATCCAGAGGGGAAACAAAAATGAAAACAAAAATATGAAATTTAACATGTTTTCATCCCCACAGGTACAGAACATTGCTTGAGGCTGTTTGTTCTAAAATTACAACGGTCCAGAGGTACTTCTTCACGCTACATGCCAAGACTGGGCACACCGTGGACATGGGTACAGCCCAACTCACAATCTCTCAGCCTCATACACTAAGGCTAGTAGCTGTGGAAGGAGTGCCTTCAGGAAGGAGCCAGACCCTGACACTGTCCTATGTCAGTCTAACACTGTCCTAAGTTGTCTGTGGAATTTATTTGAGATCCCATATCAAATGATGCCATTTAAATCTATAAAATATATTATACTTCTATAAATTTTTAGATTTTTAGGTTACTTTTTCTCTAACAAAAACTTGACAAATACCTATAGATCAGTCATATCTTTCGTTTAAAAAATGTCTTCCCAACTGGCTTCTCCACTACCTCCTGGTCCTTCTTGAATAGCTATTCCTTTTCAGGTTCTCTTTTGCTAATTCTTCATTATCTCCCCACCTCTAAATGCCAGGGCTGAGACCTCTGCCATCTCTTCCTTCTCTATCAATAGTCACTCATTAGATGAGCTTGTAGGTACGATTTATGTCACTCATGTACTGTTAATTTCTAATTATGTCCCGTAACCCAGACTGTGTACAATTCTAACTGAATGTCTAAAATCTCTTGCAGTTTTCCACTCACAGTTCACAGTAACACCAATTTTCTAGCCATTCAGCCAAAAATCTTCAGACACATCCTTAACTTACCTTTTTCTCAAAACCTGCATCTAATCCATCAATAAATCTTATCAATTCTACCTTTAAAATACATCTCCAGATCTGACTACTTCTTACCACCTGCACCACTAAGGGTTCAAGCAATCCTGTCTCTTACCCAGATAATACTGTTGATAGTTGACTTCTAACTATAACCAGAAGGATCTTTGGACCTAAGTCAGATTGTGTCATTCTTCTGCTTGAAACTGTAATGGCTACTCACCTCACTCAGCATGAAATCATGTCCTTAAACCATAATGGCCTTCAAAATTCTACTTAGTCTGGCTCCCCATTAGACCAGAGACCTCCGTCTCCACCCCTGACTCTAGGCAGCTTCACGGAACTCCATGTTGCAGAAAGTAGAGGGAGAAGCTTCTGGATCGGGCCCTCAGAACTTGCTACCATCCCTGCCTGGATGCTCTTCCTTCAGCTGTCTCCATTCCACTCCATGGAATCCCTCAGGTCTTTTCTTGTATGTCAGCTTCTCACTGAGGACCTCCTGGACCACCTTCTATCAACCCCAGCCTCCACAGTCCCCATGGCTTTATCCCACAGCATTCTTCTCAGGAGCACCCATGGCCAACTGTTAGGTTGATATTTACCGGTCAACTCGTGTGTCTCCCTCCACAAGAATCTAAAAACAGGGACCTTGTCGCTCTGTGTTCTCTGCTTTGCCTCACACCTGACACAGTGCATAGCACATAGCGTGTGCTCGATGTGTAAGTGCAGAGGAGGGGGGGAACGAAATGTGAGGAGGGCTAATTTCATTAACCTGAACCAACCTGTTTCAGCCTTAGATTCTCCTGTTGTATAAAATGGGAGGCTTAAACATTTTACCCTTTAAAGAGCTCTTGTGTTCTGTCACACTATGGGGTGTACGGGATGGTGAGAGGTCACAGCTCACAGAGCTGTCCAGTGGTCAGGGTGGGCAGTACTGATATGCTGCCCACTTACTCCTGAGGTTCTGAGGAAGGCAGAGATCTGCGAATTCCTTCCACTCTTCTCTGCCAGGGCCATAACTCACACTCGGTTTCTCCCCCTTACCGAGTAGGACCTCTACCCAGGAGGCCAGAAGCAATCACCACGGCCCTCGCTCACATCCCAGAAGGCTTCCTTACCTCCACTGCAGTGGGTAGCTGGAACAGGGACTGCCAGGACTGCTGTGGGCGTGTGGGTTCAGGAAAAAGACAAGAGGAGAAGTAGCCAGAGCACAGTCAGCGCTAAATGGAACTTTAGTGAGGGAGAGGGCTGGAGCCAACGTGGGTGAAAACATGGGCTGGTTTGCTTCAGCTCCTCGGCAAAGAGTAGAGATTCTGACAAAGCACCACAGTAGGAAAAAAACAGGGTCAGTGATCATTTCTCAGCCAAAAAGAAATTAGTGGGTTAGTATAGTCAAGAGACTGAAGAAAATTAAGTGGTCAAAAATCATTCTCAAATATCAGACTTTAGTACCAATGTTGGCACAGAACGACAATAGAGACTAAAGTATAATCCACAGAATTAAAATTAAAAATGTAAGCTTTAGCTGTTCAAAGAACTGCCTTCAGACAAATCAAACACTGCTCTATAACTCATTCGTTAGCAAGAAAGAGGTACTATTTCATGCTGAATGACTAAGACTTCCTAAAGAACTGTGTTTGCCCATAAAACTAAAACATTCTCAAAAGTTATATTTATAACAACATAAACTTAGCTAATTTTTCCCTAATGAGTATACCAAATAATACCACTCAACTCTGTATAATAAATTTTGTTTCTACTTAAATTTTAGTCCCAGATACTTCCCCTCCCCCCCCCAAAAAAAAGGTGGTTAAGGTGCTGGACTCTCAAATGGCCAAACACGGTCGGAGTCCCCAAGCCAGTGGCTTGAAAATCATGCTGGGCACACATGTATTCCCAAAATCTTGAGAAGGGAATGAGGAAAAGGGACTGTGGCATGGACATCCACCCCTTGCAGGGTGGATTTCTCATCTTCCCTCTCTCTGTCTCTCAGGCGAGCACATGTGCCCTATGGCAAAAACCTTTGAGGGGGTGGGGGGTGGGGAGGGGACTACTGTAGCAGCTATCTTGATACAATAAGTCTTACTGAAGACTATTTAACAAATTTAATTACTGGACAGAAAACAGGTGATTTCTAATTTGATTTCAAATGTGATTTCTAATTTGCTGTCACAAATACAACACAGATGAAAAACAACTGACAAATTCAGGGTTTAATTTTGCTATATTACTGGCGTGGCTTTCTATACACAAACTACATTTAACTATACTATTTTATTTCCAAGGTTAAAAAAAAAAAACTTATTTACGTATCACATAAGCACCTGATCTGTTTCAAAATGATAGCTTCCTATATTGTATTGCTGACTATTTAGAATAGAGATATGATGACATTCTACTTGTGCTTAATTACATATATGCATGGAAAATCTTCACCTCCAGCTGGCTTCGGCTCATTTCTCAGGTAGGTATGCAACATGGGGATAGAAAAGAGAAGGGCAGACCACTGTCTAAAATTATAGGCACAGTCCCACTGGGATGGCATGTGTCAGATGCTGTCGCTTGGCAGGCTGAGGCCACGTGGGTTCTAGGTTGGATTCCTAGCCCAACCTAGAAAGCCAGCTGCAGAGGCATACGCCTGTAGTCCCAGATATGAGAAAGGCTGAAGCAAGAGGACCATGACACAGCAAGGCCCTGCCCAAAATAAATAAAATTACAGCCATGACCTGATTTCCATAAGCTCGACATTAGTATTTTTCTTTTCTTTTGGAGAGGTTTTTGCTATAGGGAGAGTGCACTCACCAGAAAGACAGAGAGAGACAAAGAGATAGAAAGCAAGAAATCACCCCCCAGGGGGGATGGCCACCCTGCAATCCCTTCTCCTCCATTCTCCTCTCGGGATCTTGGGCACGCACGAATACGCGCCTGGTGTGAGCTTAAGCCACCAGGTCCGGGACTCGAACCGCAGTCGACTACATGGGAATTCAGTGACATAGCCATGATGCTTAGTGCTGGTCCCGAGCTCAACATTTTTAATTACAAGATGTAAAACAGAAATTCTAGATTAATTTTTTGCTTTCAAAAAGAATTTTCACTTTTCTAAAGAACTATCAAAATTAAGCTAGAGCTATTAATAATTAAAACATAACAAGTACCAAATAACAATGTTCACACAAACTTTTAGAGTCTTACATCCTACCACATAAAATTAAGTTTATCCAGGGACCAGCGAGTGGCATGGAGGTTAAAATGCTGGATTCCACACGGCCAGCTTTGTAGTTTGAGACCCAGATCCTGCAGCTTGAAAATCATACCAGGTGTATGTGCATGCATGCCCAAAATCCCAAGATGAAAATGGAGGAGAAGGGTCTGCAGCATGGCCATGCCCCCATGCAAGTGATTTCTCACTTTCTCTCTCTCTCTGGCCAACACACATGCCCCAAAACAAAACAAAACAAAACAAAAGAATAAAAACAAACAAAAAAGATGAGAGGTTTATCCATTATAATAAATATATAATTGGAATTATAAAAAAAAAATCTATGAAAATCAAACCTCATTTTCTTTTTGCTCCTAATTATCACTCTGCAAATTGGTTATGCAATGGGGTTAGAGTCTAAAAAGAATTGTTTGAAAAAGGAAAAGTGATCTATAAACTATTTACTAGCTATTCAGGGGTGTTTTCCAAATTCAAAGTCACTAAAACAGACAGTGATTACCAATATCAGTGTACCAATATTTGAAGAGTATGATTTTTGATCACTTATATTACAAAAACATTTTATAAAAAATACAAACTCCATTTTAAAATTTTCAATTTTGCTAGCAAGTCACTTCTACTTTAAAAGACACTTTAGTTGATGAAGCACCATTTTATATCATCTTAAACTTTTCAGTCTCAGTATGGGAATAAAAAGTCTTTTTTTAAGTATGCCAATACTCCCAAAACAAGCAATTGACCCTTGAACAACCAGGGGGTTAGAGGCCTTGATCCCACCCCCAGTGAAGTTGAAAGCCCACATATAACTTTTCATTTCCCCAGAATTTAGCTCTAACAGCCTGTTTACTGGAAGCCCTACTGATAAGATAAACAGGCAATCAACATGTATCTTGTATATGTTATTATTATATACTGTAGTCTGAAAATAAAGTAAGCTAGAGAAAAGAAAATCATAAGGAAGAGAAAATACGTTTACACTATTTACTGAAAGAAATTCACATATAAGTAGGCCCATGTAATTCAAACCCATGTTGTTCAACGGTCAGCTGTACTTCAAACAAGTCCTGTTTTCCAGCATATGGCAGGATCATTAACCCAATCAACACGCATTCACAGATGCTGAAGGCAATCTCCCCAAGGAAGCCCACTGTACCAGTGTCTGTCTCTGGGTAAGCACTAATACTAAGAGGGAAATGAGAACTGCGTCCCACCACCCCGTGAACTAAGCAAAAGCAGTTCAAGAAAGACAACTGTGATAAAACAGATTCTAGAACTCTTTTCTGGGTTCTCTAATTTGCTGGTCAGTTCTCCCAGTTCTCTTCTTCATTAAATAAACCTGAGCTCTTGAAAAAGCTACCGTTTAGTGGAAACTTTCTTCCCTTCCCCAGCTTCAAAATCCTCACCTACTAAAGCATACTTCTGTATTAGGCAATAGAGAAATAAAACTCAGGTCACACCCTAAAAGACCAGGCCTGAGGCCTTGAGTTGACAGGCCAGAGGCAGAATACAATGCCTTCTCTAGCCAAAGGAAATACTTTAAATTTTCATTTGTTCCTCACATTCACAGGGCTTGTGTTTGCAGCTGTGCCACTATCTTTAAATAAACATTTGCTTTTAAGGCAAGAAAGAAAGTGTCCTCACTCTTAACCAAGTTCCCCAAGTACTCTGGGACCCCTAAAATGCTATCTAATTCTGTTTCTAGAAGGGGAGCCCCATATGCCCCTGCCAAAGACCACTGTTTTGACCTTGAATTAATGACGCCAGGTCAGCCCTCTTCCTGACAGGCATCTCCAAAGCAGGGTCTTCATCCAAGCAAATGAAGCTGTGTTAGTTGGCGTTAGTTCTTTGCCTGGCACCTGCCAGTTTCGGACAGGGCCCCTGGCCTCCTTACTGAATCCGCAGGCAAGGTGCTCCCAGTCTTTCTCTCCTCCGTTTCATCATTCTGCTGGCTACTCAAGTTTTCCCCTCTCACACTGGAGTCTTGGCAAGAAGTTCCTTTACACAAGGGGTATGCAGTCCACTGGCCAAAGGAAATTTACAAAGGCTTCCCAAACTTAACAGGAAAAATTCAAGTATTTCTCTCTAAAGCCATGATATTCAGAACCCGCCACCCCCCAGAAAAGACCTAAGAGCCCAGGAGACAGCAGTGGTGCAGTGGGGAGTTCCAGATCCCAAATGAATCAGCTGTCCGCTGACCTGCCTGACATCATTCACACTCAGCCTGCAGCAAATCAGAGCCACGGAGAGTACCTTGTTCAGTCGTCAGTGATAAGTACCAAACTCCCTCCCCCATGGATCAGCTGTGACCTCCAACCCTGCGGCCTGGCAGCAGTGAAGACTCTGGCAGAAACTGTGCATACCAACTGGAACACTCACACTGTGTCAGAAATACTATTAACCTGGGAGGCGTGGGCCAGGCTACAACAGCTGCTGCAGTGGGCAAAGGACTGGAAGAAAGCAAATTAAGGATCCCAAACCAGTACAATAATGAGCTAAGAATATGTGAACATTTCTGCAACATTATTCATTCTCAAGTCCAGGCCTGCTGGAGGATGATGGAAGGCCTTTAATGGGAGGGCTCAAAGCATGCTCATTATTCAAATTCTAAGTTTGACCAATGTCAGTTAATTCTGTACTCATTCAGACAAAGCTCAGCATTATTTATTCAATGTCTATTACACTCGAATCACTTGAATAATCCTGTGGTAGAGAAAGCCACAGGAAAGTTAAGAAAATAAGCCCAGAAACTGTTTCCTTTCATTTCATCCAATAACCATTAATGGAATCATTTACATGGCAGACTTTTCACAAGACTAAGGTCTGCTGCAGAACTCCACTGATGTATAAGCTACTTAAGTTTTGTATGCTTCAGTTTCCCCATAAGTAAAATGAAGATAATTAAGGTACTTAATATATAAGTTGTGGTGAGGAATAATACATGTAAAAGAGAAAAGTGCCTAGCACAGAGAAAGCACTACAGAAGTACTAGCTGTTATCACAGGTCTTGCGCTCCAAGAGCTGTCTTCCAGTCTGAAGGAGTAAGGCTGAACAAATAGCAAGTCATCTCAGAAAAGCACTCTGGCTTGAAGAAAG